AATGGATGGATAGATCCTTCGGAAATCCCTCTAATATTTTGGTATTATGCTCAAGAAACAATTATTATTATTATTATTATTATTATTATTATTATTATTATTATTATTATTATTATTATCAACAGAACAGGTCATATTTTGCATCTTCATGTTTTCAGTTCATATTTTTTTTAGAATATTATATGTAGATATTTAAAAATAAAAATATATATATTTTAAACATTATTGTCGATTTTGACTTTGCTAAATAAAAGTTCATCTGAAATTGTTTATTATTACTTTTTATTTTCAAAACTTTTTACATATTTAGCAGGAAAACTAGACATTAATACTGATAAAGTAAACTTTTTGGTTGTTCACTTTTCATTTAATTTTTAGCAGTAAAAAAAATCACAACTTAATTAATCAGTGAATCATAAAATTAAGAAGAATATTTAATATTGAGTTAACTTGCACGCCTAACATTTACTCTACACTCACTGGAAGGAAAACGCTTCTTAGATTATTTATTACACTTTTCAGCAATAAAATAAGTTAATGATGATAATAATAATAATAATAATAATAATAATAATAATAATAATAATAATAATTATTATTATTATTATTATTATTTTTAATAATAATTATTTTTATTATTATTATTATTATTATTAAATTATTTTTATATATTACACTTGTAACAAGTTGAAATAATTACTTTTAAATTGATCCTTTTTTTCCAAGATTATTATAATAATTTTAAAGCACATTGACAAGCCTAAAACATGCAAAAACCCATAAAATAATAAGAGAGATTGAGTTTACATGACTCTTAAATGATAATAACTCAACAATACGAGTGAAGAGACATGCTAATTGATGTTAATTTTAATAAAGCCCTCATTCATAGTCACTGATCCGGAGAGCTGTTTTTCTCCACCCTGAAACACTCAGAAACACTGAATAATTAGCCAAGCTTGAAGTGAAGGAGGTAGGAGGTGGAGAACTGGTGTAGCGGCGGGACCATCAGCAAATAATGTGGAAAGGCGGTGGATGAATTATTCAGGCCAGTTCTGGATGTGGCCACAGGCTCCAGCATCCATCAGACATGCTGGAGAAAGATGCTCAATTAATGCCTTTAAATATACAGCAGTCTCACCTTTTCATGAATGACTGCATCAATAACTCCCTGCACTGGCATTCAGATGCCTTTACTCCCAAAACAACACAGCAGTGTCGGCCAGCATTGTTTTTCACTAGGAATAGGATTGTCCAAGTCTACAGATGGATAGATGAATGGATGGACATATTTTATGGATAAATTATCGTTAATTAGCATTGAACGTCAAAGTACTGGGAAAACTGTAATAATGAAGACATTTTTGGATGGATGGATGAATGGATTAAACAGGTGGATCAATTAAAATCTGAATGAATGAATGGATAAATAGATAGATGGATGAATAAACAGATGAATGAATGAATGAATGAATGAATGAATGAATGAATGAATGAATGAATGAATGAATGAATGAATGAATGAATGGACAGATGGATGGACGGATGGAGGGATGGATAAACAGATGCATGGATGGATTGATAAACACATAAATGGATGGATGGATTAAGAGATGGATAGATGGATTGATGGATAAACAGATAGATGGATGAATGGATGGATGGATGGATGGATGGATGGATGGATGGATGGATAAACCGATGGATGGATGAATAGACAGATGGATGAATGGGTGGATGGATGGCTGGATGCTTAAACAGATGGATGGATAAACAGATAAAAGTATGGATGGATGAATAAACAGATGGATGGATAAAAGGATGGATGAATAAACAGATGGATGAATTAACAGATGAATGGATGGATTAATTAACAGATGAATGGATGAATGAATAGACAGTAGGATGGATGGGTGGACGGATGGCTGGATGGATAAACAGATGGATGGAAAAACCTATGGGTTTATGGATGGATGAACAGACGGATGGATGGATAAATCGATGGATTTTTAAAAAGATGGATGGATAGATAGATAGTTGGATAGACAGAAGTGTGGATGGATGGATGACTGGCCAGATGGACGGATGGACGGAGGGATGATGGATGGATTAACGAATGGGTGGATGGTTGGATAAACAGTTGCATTGATAGATAAATGGATGGATGGATGGATGGATGGATGGATGGATGGATGGATGGATGGATGGATGGATGGATGGATGGATGGATGGATAGATGGATGGATAGATCGTTGAATAAACGGATGGAAGGGCAGAGGGATAGATGGATGAACAGATGGATGAATAAATAGATGGACGGATGGATGGAAAATGAATTGATAAATTAAAGGATAAACAGATGAATGGATGGATGGATGGATGGATAAACAGATGGATGGATGGATGGATGGATGGATGGATGGATAAACAGATGGATGTATGGATGGAAGGATAAATACATGAATGGATGGATAGATGGATGGATGGATGGATAGATGGATGGATGGATGGATATATGGATGGATAAATAAACAGATGGATGGATGGATGGATGGATGGATGGAAAATGAATGGATGGATGGATGAATGAATGGATGGATGGATGGATGGAAAATGGATGAATGGATGAATGAATGGATGGATGGATGGATGGATGGATGGATGGATATATGGATGGATGGATAAACAGATGGATGGATTGATGAAGTGATGGATGTGTTGTTGAGTGGTGCTCATTGTCTTCATGCTCAATATAATTGCTCACTGTTGTCTTCTGCATTTGAGTTGGACCCTTTCATGAGATTTGCATGTACCCTATTTAAAAAGCACCGGCTTGTGCGGATTAAAGTCCTGTTGTACTTGAAGCACAGCTGCAGAAGGACACTGAGAGGAAATGCATTTGCTGGAAGTGTTCCTCTCAGCATGATGCAGACACTAATATGCGAGGCCGCACATTTCAAAAGCAGTGTAATATTCAAAGAGATGCACCTCTTCAAATGTGCCATTATTCCTTTGCCGGGATCGCATGACTAGTCACTCGTCTGACAACAAACTTCCGTCTGCAGCTTCTTGAAGGTTATTTAAGGTCGTCGCGTTTCATTCTGTTCATGCAAATGGGAAAGATCACAGAAAAATCAAAAAGATCGGCGGAGCGCAAGATAAATGCTTGTTTTTTCTGCCTGTTATACAGCGACAGAAGTCAACGCTTTGATATTTCTGTAGGGGGGAACAAAAAGTCTGTTTTGTATGAGTCCAAAAAAATCTCAAGGTTGTCAGCGGAAAAGCCATTTCTAGTTCTCACCAAACTGCCTGTCCTCTAATCCAAATAGAAGAAATATCAACAACCCGTCCTCCTCCTGAAAGCTTTAATCTCAGTAATCTGTGATACACTGTGAAAATTTCATTGCTCTTTAACATCATTAAGGAAATATTAAAAAATATAAAAATACTAATTCAAAGGGGGGCTGATAATTCTGACTTCAACTGTACATGAGTTGTATGAGTGTGTTTGAGTATAATTTACCATGTTTCAATCTGTTTTACCCAGCCTGATCTCACAAGAAAACGTAAGTATCTTACGTTTTGCAAGTTTAGTGGCTAATTCGTACGAGTTCAGTCGTACGAAATTGTATGATTTTAAAAAGGAGGTGTAATAAAGTTCACCGCCCTTCGGCCGCCGGGAAGAAGGAGGCGGAGAACCGACGGAGTTTTTAAATGATTTATTAATAACAATGACAGCAGCTCCTCACGGAGACTGCCGTCTAAACCAAAACAAACGGATGGCAGCTCCTCACGGAGACTGCCGTCAAACTGAAAGCAACAGTAAAATATGTCCGGGCCCGGTCATCTCTCGGCTTCCTCTGCCATTGGTCCTCCTTTTATGGTCCAGAGCTCCTTCCGTGGGATCCGAGGCAGGTGCGCACCGCAGGTGTATCCACTTACGAGGTGGCCTCACCCCGTTCCCACGGCTCTCGGCCACGCCCCCTCGCCACATACCCCCATCTCCCATCACAGGCCGGGGGCACCCCGTGGCTGTGCATACTCCGGGGGGGGGGTTTGGCGCCACAGCACCCGCGAGACCTATATGAGACGGGCCGAGAGAAAAGGAGATGGAAAAAAGGAGGAAAGACAGAGTAGACCGAGAAAGGGGAGAGAGGAAAAAGAAAAAAAAAATTGGGGTTCGGTTCTCCAGACACGCTGCCACTCGGTCCTCCACCAGCTGAGAGATGCGACGACGTGCTGGGAGCCCTGTGGAGGAATCTATCCACCCGTCCATCTTCTGGCGTCCGGCGGCAGTTCTCCTGGCTGGCTGGCGGCATTTCTGGTCTCCTGCTCCGCTCCCGCTTCGGTGGACGGATGCAGGCACTGGCATCATGGCGGATCGCGGCGACTCCCCCAGGTTCTGTGGGATGGCTCCCTTCAGCACTTTCCCTTCCGGTGGTGAGCCCCGCGTCCCCTGCTCCTCCCCATGCTGGGAGACGGCAGCAGGCAGATCCTTTCCTCGCCAGCCTCAGGCCGCCCCCGGCACTCTGGGCAGACGAACGGATTTCTCCCCCACTCGGGTTAACTCCCGAACACTCGCCCCCTCTCTCAGCGGCGAGGGCATCTGGACAACGATCTGGAGAACCGACGGAGCTTTAAAATATTTATTAATAACAATGACAGCAGCTCCTCACGGAGACTGCCGTCTAAACCAAAACAAACGGACGGCAGCTCCTCGCGGAGACTGCCGTCAAACTGAAAGCAACAGTAAAATATGTCCGGGCCCGGTCATCTCTCGGCTTCCTCTGCCATTGGTCCTCCTTTTATGATCCAGAGCTCCTTCCGTGGGATCCGAGGCAGGTGCGCACCACAGGTGTATCCACTTACGCGGTGGCCTCACCCCGTTCCCACGGCTCTCGGCCACGCCCCCTCGCCACAGTAGGCATGGCACCTAACCCCACCCCTAACCCAACTGTCATTGGGGGATGAGCAAATCGTACTAAATTGTACAAATTAGATCGTACAAATTCATACGAATTAGCCACTAATTCAAAAAGTTACGAATTGCCGGGAGATTGCGTTGGTTTTAACCTGCCTAACTGTATTTTTTTTTTTTTTAAGATTTATTTTTGGCCTTTTTTATTAGATAGGACAGATTTAAGACAGGAAGCAAAGTGGAAGAGAGAGACAGGGGGTAGGGAAATGTCGTCGAGCCGTGATTCGAACTCGCGACGCACTGATGTGCTATTGCACCACATGTCAGTGCGCTAACCACTAGGCTATTGCACCAACTCAATCTGTGTTTTTAACTAGGAGAAGTGCAGTGTACAATATTAGCATGACATTTTGCCTGTGAAATGTGACCTTTGATTACTGGTTTTCGATTTCTTTTGTGTTTAAATGTTTAGCAGTAGCAGACGTAAGAGGAATTATAGGAGAATAATCATAACTTCATGTTCTCTGTTTGTGCAGGTATTGTTTTTTCTGTTTCATGTGTTTGATGTTTTATGTGTTAGATAAAATACTGGCAATTCTTATCAATAAAGTGGAGCTTTTTTTATTTTCTGGAGAGTTAAAACATTAACTAGATTAATTAACTTTTCTTTTATAATGATCGTTATCTTTTCTCATTAGGTAAAATGTTGTATTTACTGCATTATGCTTGCTTGAGTCTGTCGGAGGACTGAGCAGAGTGAGCAGTAGCAGGCGTACGAGGAATTATAAGAAAAGAATCATGCATGTTCTCTGCTTGTGCAGCACTTGAATAAATAAGACAGCTGAACCCGCTGACAGACTTCAGTTTTTACAACACAACACAACACAACACAACGCAGGGGGGTAGTCAAGCAGTTAAGACCGGCCCTGGCTACCAAAGGTCATTTTCAAAAACCCATAATAGGGGCTCTTTAACCATCTCAAACATTTTCTTACATATTTATTGGAAAAAATGTCGATCCTCTGCCCATCTTTGCTCTTAAAGGAGTAGACCTTTCTTCGATCCTGCTTTTGTACCAAATGATAATTATAAAGTTCAAAAAAATCTCAAGGTTAGTGCGACAGGTGTCCTTCTGGTACAGCTACTTTATTCCATATGTTTTGGTCCTGTCCTTCCCTGCTTTCTTTTTGGAGACAAATATTTCTCTCGCTATCAGCTATTACCACTGTTGATATCCCACCATGTCCAATTATTGGTTTATTTGGGGTTCTTCCGCCCAACCACACTTTACCCTCTCTTTTTGTAGACTTTGTAGCCTTCTTTACCCTTCTGGCTAGGCGATTAATTCTTCTGAACTGGAAGAGCCCTCACCCTCCTTCTCACTCTTGTTGGATAAGAAATGTTCTTTATTTTATGAAAATAGAAAAAATTAGGTACTCTCTTCACCGAACTAGCACTATTTTTTATTAAATTTTAAAATTCTTCTTTTCACTTATAAAGCTTTGCACAGTTCTGCCCCAGCTTATGTCACGGGTAGAAGAAGGAGTGAACTCAAGTGCAGAACACAAAGTGTTTATTAAGGAGAAAGTCTTTGCAAAGGAACAAAAAACCCAATCGGGTGAGTGCCGTGGAAAACAGTCCAGAAACAACGGGAGAATTGTTCACTGGCAGCCCTGGACACAAATATGGGGTGAGTAACAGACTATACACACATTTATACACACACACCAACGACAACAGACTGACAAACATGAAGGGAAATGACGTGCTATAAATAGGAACAAAGGGATAAGAAACAGGTGGAGCGAATCACTCCGATGACCTGTGAATACTAGAAAAGCAGGTGACTGAAGGTAATCTGTAACATAGAACTGGAGAGAGTGAGAACACAAGGTACGGTGACAAGCCTATGTCAGCGAGCTTATTAGGCCATATACAGCTTGTAGACTCTTAAGATCCAATGACCAGTTTCTTTTGTCTGTCCCTCGGTCTCGCTGCAAGTCAAAGGGTGATCGAGCTTTCAGTGTTGCTTTTAATGAATGAATAAGTTAACACATTGCTTAATATAAGAATGTTCAGTGCATTTGCCTGTCTCTTTATACCTATTTTCAGGAGCCAGCAAACTAGGTCAGAGGTCATGGAGACCTTGAGTGGAACTGAGGGCTGAGGACTGGAATCAACTGTTCCTATTGTTATTTCTAGGAGTTAATACTATCTAAAATGTCTGAAGTAATTTTGTTATTTTTACGGTTAATTCTTTTAAAGTGATTCTACTTTTATTCAAGATAGACTTTGTGTAGTAAGAATATAACTGCCTGAATGTAGATTATACCACTTTTTAACCAGTTTTGATAAAGACAGCTGACAGTACACTCAGCCTTGGATTAGAAACAGATTATACTTTAAGTGTGTGTGCTCTGTTTGATTGTTGATCCATTTCACAGGTCTGGAGTCAGCTCTAATTAGTCTAAAGGATGTCTGACGTTTATGCTTAAGATAATGTTCAGAATTGTACGCACGAACCCCACGTGGAAATTTTCCTAGTCTATCTGTGTTTTAACCAATCAGGTTAGAACACCAGTATGTATGACGCAGTTAATGACGTTATGTGAGAGTATAACTGTTATTGATTGGTGATTGTAAGCAGAGCGGCCTAGGAACTCATTGCGAGTGTTGAAGCTGGCTTCTGTTGATGTAACTGCAAACTATCTTCAGTAGACTTCATTTATTTATTTAAATCTCTGACTCCGGCTCTTCTTCATCTACCAGACTGGTCATTCTTTGGGTTAAACTGTAAACTATCCCTACAGTACTCTCTTCACCGAACTAGCACTATTTTTAATAAATTGTGGGAACCCCTTCGCAAATATGTCCAAACTCTTCAGCTTGACCCTGCTCCTTCTGATTGAGTCCCCACCCCCTAATGCCCAGCTTTTATGGGAAACTATTTCTGGTCAACACATTGTAGACTTGTTTTTTTTATTTTTTATAAATGCAAAGATCATACAAATACAAGAAAACATCAACAAATAACAAATACAAAGCAACAAAACAAAAACAAAACAAAAACAACAACAATGTAGTCAGGTACTGGTATGTGCGTGTGTATGCATGTAAAGGTAACTTGGTGGACGGGTCCGAGTACATACATAAGGAACAATAACAGTCAATAAATGAAGCAAGTGTCACAGATATAGATAAAACATATAGAAAGAAACCAGTCAGAGGTAGGGAGTAACAACAATGCTTATTAATGTATGATAGTAAATATGAAAGTAAAAAGAAGGAAAGGACAACAGTAATGATAACTGACAATAATAATAAATCACAAGTGCTACACCAACTACTACTACAGAAAGTTACTTATATTACAACTACTACATGCTTCTACTACAGCTACAACCACGACTACTACTACTACAATGTCTACTAATACTGATACTACTACAACAATGACTACCACTACTGATACTTTTAGCGTTTGCTACAACTAATACAACAACGTCTACTGCTACTACTACTACTACAATCAGTTCTTCTACATCTACACCAACAACGACTACTACTACTACTACTGTAACAACCACACCTTTATTACCTCTGCTACTACTATACCAATGACATCTACTACTACTTGAACTACTACTTCAATAATCTCCATAACAATTACTCAATAACAACAATCCCATAACAATCGATACTATTACAATGACTACTACTACAACTACTACCACTACCGCTACAACTACAACAACTGCAACCTTAATAATGATAATGGTAAAAATACTTGTAATAATGATAATGAAATGATAACAGGACAAGTCAGAACAGTGATAATAATAATGATAACAAAAAGTAAAAGTAATACCATTTATGACAAAGGTGTCGAGGTGAGGGGACGATGGGAAATCAGGGAGAGGACAAGTAATAATAATAATAATAATAATAATAATAATAATAATAATAATACACATACACATTGTAGACTTTTTTTTCTGTATATAAGATTGCACTAGTGTTGTTGTTTTTTTTATTTTATTTATCTATTTATTTTTATTATCTTATATTTATTTATTATTATTTATTTATTTTTATTATTATTATTTGCTCAAAATAATAACCTCACCTTCCTTCTCACTCATGTTGGATTAGAAATGTTCTTTTTTTATGACATTAGAAAAAAATTAGGTACTCTCTTCACCGAACTAGCACTATTTTTATTAAATTGTGACCCCTTCGCAAATATGTCCAAACTCTTCAGCTTGACCCTGCTCCTTCTGATTAAGTCCCCACCCCCTAATGTCCAGCTTTTATGGGAAACTATTTCTGGTCAACACATTGTAGACTTTTTTTTTTTTTTTTATAAATGCAAAGATCATACAAATACAAGAAAACATCAACAAATAACAAATACAAAGCAACAAAACAAAAACAAAACAAAAACAACAACAATATAGTCAGGTACTGGTATGTGCGTGAGTGTGCGTGTGTGCGTGTGTATGCATGTAAAGGTAACTTGGTGGACGGGTCTGAGTACATACATAAGGAAAATGAAGCAAGTGTCACAGATATAGATAAAACATATAGAAAGAAACCAGTCAGAGGTAGGGAGTAACAACAATGCTTATTAATGTATGATAGTAAATATGAAAGTAAAAAGAAGGAAAGGACAACAGTAATGATAACTGACAATAATAATAAATCACAAGTGCTACACCAACTACTACTACAGAAAGTTACTTATATTACAACTACTACTGCTTCTACTACAGCCACAACCACGACTACTACTACTACAATGTCTACTAATACTGATACTACTACAACAATGACTACCACTACTGATACTTCTATAGCGTTTGCTACAACTAATACAACAACGTCTACTGCTACTACTACTACTACTACCACAATCACTTCTTCTACATCTACACCAACAACGACTACTACTACTACTACTGTAACAACCACACCTTTATTACCTCTGCTACTACTATACCAATGACATCTACTACTATTTGAACTACTACTTCAATAATCTCCATAACAATTACTCAATAACAATAATCCCATAACAATCGATACTATTACAATGACTACTACTACAACTACTACCACTACCGCTACAACTACAACAACTGCAACCTTAATAATGATAATGGTAAAAATACTTGTAATAATGATAATGAAATGATGACAGGACAAGTCAGAACAGTGATAATAATAATGATAACAAAAAGTAAAAGTAATACCATTTATGACAAAGATGTCGAGGTGAGGGGAGGATGGGAAATCAGGGAGAGGACAAGTAATAATAATATGAATAATAATAATAATAATAATAATAATAATAATAATAATAATAATAATAATAATAATACATATACACATTGTAGATTTGTTTTTTCTGTATATAAGATTGCACTAGTGTTGTTGTTTTTTATTTTATTTATCTATTTATTTTTATCATCTTATATTTATTTATTATTATTTATTTATTTTTATTATTATTATTTGCTCAAAATAATAACCTCACCTTCCTTCTCACTCATGTTGGATTAGAAATGTTCTTTTTTTTTATGACATTAGAAAAAATTAGGTACTCTCTTCACCGAACTAGCACTATTTTTATTAAATTGTGACCCCTTCGCAAATATGTCCAAACTCTTCAGCTTGACCCTGCTCCTTCTGATTGAGTCCCCACCCCCTAATGCCCAGCTTTTATGGGAAACTATTTCTGGTCAACACATTGTAGACTTTTTTTTTTTTTTATAAATGCAAAGATCATCCAAATACAAGAAAACATCAACAAATAACAAATGCAAGGCAACAAAACAAAAACAAAACAAAAACAACAACAATATAGTCAGGTACTGGTATGTGCGTGTGTATGCATGTAAAGGTAACTTGGGGGACGGGTCAGAGTAAATACATAAGGAACAATAACAGTCAATAAATGAAGCAAGTGTCACAGATATAAATAAAACATATAGAAAGAAACCAGTCAGAGGTAGGGAGTAACAACAATGCTTATTAATGTATGATAGTAAATATGAAAGTAAAAAGAAGGGAAGGACAACAGTAATGATAACTGACCATAATAATAAATCACAAGTGCTACCCCAACTACTACTACAGAAAGTTACTTATATTACAACTACTACTGCTTCTACTACAGCCACAACCACGACTACTACTACTACAATGTCTACTAATACTGATACTACTACAACAACGACTACCACTACTGATACTACTATAGCGTTTGCTACAACTAATACAACAACGTCTACTGCTACTACTACTACTACTACTACCACAATCACTTCTTCTACATCTACACCAACAACGACTACTACTACTACTACTGTAACAACCACACCTTTATTACCTCTGCTACTACTATACCAATGACATCTACTACTACTTGAACTACTACTTCAATAATCTCCATAACAATTACTCAATAACAACAATCCCATAACAATCGATACTATTACAATGACTACTACTACAACTACTACCACTACCGCTACAACTACAACAACTGCAACCTTAATAATGATAATGGTAAAAATACTTGTAATAATGATAATGAAATGATAACAGGACAAGTCAGAACAGTGATAATAATAATGATAACAAAAAGTAAAAGTAATACCATTTATGACAAAGGTGTCGAGGTGAGGG